TAACGTTTCGACGTCGCTGACATACTGTGTGCAAAATGTGGATGTTACACGTCACAAAGATCATGATAACATCTATCTTGCTCACATCGGCAATGTGCCGTGCTGTACCCGTTGATCCATCACTCACGTGCATGTCTGAGTTGCTTTTCCACACGTCGTTTTAACGATCTTGATTGGATTCTTAATGATCTTTCTTTACGCATTACATTTCTTTTTTTACGTCGATTGTGGCCTCCCGATATTTTGAGATTATTACTTGAGTCGAATGAATTACATCTCGATTATATTCTGCGTTACAGTGTGTTTAAACTTTGACATAAGCGTAAGAACGTCCGAGGATAAATATGTAAAATGGCAGCGGAATGAAACTAGCGCCGGTAAGAACTACACTGCGGTACATCGGTGAATGCTCAGAGTGAAAACCAGTTGGGTCCCTATAGTGTATCCTTTCAATGCTAACGGTGCATACGAAAACATGATCCCGTAAGGTGTAGAGGCTGTCGTGCGTTCTAATTTTTGTAGATGTGGTTTACATTATTTTTACTTTTTAAGATTTTATATATTTGTTTTATATTTCACATAGATGAGATTTCTAAATATATCATACTTATTTTGTTCGTATCTGTTTTTACTTCAATATGAATAACTGTTGAGAATATATTTTTATAATCCAAGCATATGTATTGTAGGTAAATGGAAAGAGCGATTTTGCTGAAGTATCTAAAAATCTAGGTATAGATGTAGAACTGAAAATAATGTTACTGTACCACAAAATAACATAGAAATTTAAAACATGATGAACAACGTCGAAAAAGTTTTGACATTTTAGCAATCAGTTTAAGCTCTTACATAAATATTTTGATGATTCAACAAAATTATTTTTAGATTAGTTTGTAGCTAAATTTTTCAGTTTTACCTCTTTCTGTGTAATAAATGCGGTAATAGATCTATTTAGCTACATCCTTTTGTATAACAAAACAAACTCTTTACGTCTCAGCAACAGAAAACGAAACGAGAAACAAAGTCCTATGAGAAGCACGGTCCAAATTATCCCACACTGTTCCATTGATAAAATGCGAGATGAAACAATGTCATATTATGCTCCATTGTTACAACGTAAATAAAATTAGTATGTTAAATAACGATTTATTTTTGTTAAGAGAGGCGCAAAGTAAAAAACGCGAATAATAGTCAGTTATTCCAACGTTATCGGTATGCGATTTTGCAACAAACGTTATCGAATGAGGAAGGTTTGATGGAGTACATCGTTTTCTTTTCAAATGCGTAAATCGTACACGAGACTTTCCTCTCTTTCACGCGCAGTAATGGTGTCGACATCTTTCTCTTTACTTTCGTGGCCGATGTATGACACGGTGGGGAGATGAGTTTATTCGCGTACACTTTCTCTATGTCTACGTGCGATGTCTACGTGCAGTTCAGCAGGCAATATCTCTCCAATTCGTTATATCTACGTTTCGTTACGTTACCTCGAGATTATGCGCTACGCTTCGATTCTTTTGCTAAATCTCGCTACAAGAATCGCAGCGGGAAAGAAGTTGTGATCTTGTCGACCGCGTTTCACTTTTCGACACAATGACCTTATTTTGCGATACAAATTCTAAAAAAATCTCTAGAAAAACTTAGTTGCAAAAAGTCGATGCCTTACGATATCGTCACCAGTAATATTATATATTGTATGATTAATTTGAATTAATGAACAGTAATTGTGCAATATATATGTCCTGAATTTTGCAATAAAATACATTTGCGTATGATTCATTTATCGATCAAATTAAATAATGAAAAAAACTCGCTATTGGCAACGATTTGATTCACGTGTTCTAATATGGGCTTTCAGCGGTAATGTTCCACTTTTTCTTCTTCAGAGCCTGATAACTTAACGGTTTCATCGAACCAACCGATATAATCATCGGTTTTTTTTTTTACCAAACTGCTCCTTGCCCTGATGAACTGCAACTTTCACGGAATGATGGTATTCCAAGAATGGATACGAAGATAATCCGCGAAGCATATAGCTTTTATATCATTGTTCCTTTTTTGTTTATGACAAAATTTACAAATATGCACGCAAAATAGGTTTGCAAAAATAAAAGCAGCATCAATGAGAAGTGAAAATTTTCATTCTGCATGCATAGTGTGAACTCAGATCTAATTTCTCTTTATCGAAACATGCCATATGCATTTCGATTACTTGAAAAGAGAGAAAGGGTAGCAGAGAGAGACAAAAGAACGAAAGAGAGGCGCATTCGTTTTTCATCTTATCCCGCTATTCACGATTTTAATTTTAATGAGATATTTTCGAATAAATTTGCAATATTGATTCCTCGTTGGTAAAAATATTAGCTAATGGTTTATTTTATACTTACAGAGTCTTATTATAATATTATATTATACATTTTATATTTAAAATATTAATTAAGATATTTTGACTAACTTTTTTAAAAATTCAATCAGGCGATCGGCACGATGCTGTTATAAGATAAATAAATAATATTTTCACTTAATTAGCACATATGTATAATACGAATTAATTTTAGAAACATTTCGTTTCACAAAACCACAAGTGTGTGACAAGTTGACAAGTCTGACATTTGACAATATGAAATATTATATATGAATATATAATAATGCCTAGCATTGTATCTAAAGCTTAACATTAATTATTTTTGTTGACAAAAATGGCAGAATGTTTTTAAATTTATAATATAATAATTTCACACATTAAGATGCTGGCTTTTAAAAGAATTCTTTTTAAGAATAAAAAAACTGAAAATTAATATCGTTTTATTCGGTTAGTCTAATAATAAATCTATATAATATTCTTCCTGAAAAAGAATTTTTGTGATAAGCATCTAAGAATTCACGATATCGACATATTATTTATGATGAGTAACGATCTCGAAGTGATATTAAATCGATTATGTAAGGAATTACAGGTGAAATTTACTTTCATTTCTCAGACGACATGATGTATTCAAGGACGATATATACGAGATTGCATCATTCGGATTTCGATTGCTCATAAAACTGGAAAAAAAAAGATATATTTAGAATAATTGTTTAAAAATCAGGCCTGTCTAATTTGAGCTCTGAGCTAAAACGCAAAATCATCGATGTAAACCAATTAATTTGAATAAGATTTCATGCACTGTAAAATGTGATAAGCATCACTCAGACGCTTATCGACACTTCACAGTGTGTGAAATTACATGTATTAACTTTTTTGCGTCAATAGTTTTTCATTTTAGCTCCAGGAGGTCAAATTAGACAGGCTTGATCTAAATTTCCTCAAATATAGCAAAGCTTTTATTTTTATCAAATAATTGACGTTGAGTAGAATAGTCTAAATGATAAAAGTCGTTCCTATTCTAGCTTTTTTATTCTTTATTTTTTTACGACTTTTTTTTTAATGTAAAAAATATAGCGAGAATATATGAAAAATTAACGAATTTACATGTACACTTAATGTCGCGTCATTTAATTTGCGTTCTATTACAAACTGTTTAACATTTAATTGATTATTCCAATGTGTCCGTGTATCAGTTATAAATTATCAGTTATAAAGCATCAGTTACTATAAATAAACGATGTTAAATTTTTTATTAACCATTTAATTTTTAACGATACGTTATAATGTTATAAAAGTGTTAAATAAAGAATCAATGTGAACATGTGTACACTTTGTCTCAGGCTTATACAATATTATTACATCATTATAGCAGCATATATTTTTATCATTATGTATAGGATGTGCAGTATCTTGAATAAATCAATAAAAAACTAATTGTCACAAAACTAAAATTACACAACAACAATAGTTTGCACCATGGTCATGTTGTTACAATGTGTCTGAAAGCGTAGCAATCCTGACGCAATTGCAGATTAGTTACGGCCAATGCAATTTATGTGATTTAATTGGCCGAAAAAAAATTGTATATCAGTTTTCTATCTTAGAAATGCTAAATCACACAATTATCTTATTCGCATGTAATCCATATTACATTATAGATTGACACTTTAAAAAAAAAATACACATTTTTCATACTATTTATTTGCTTATTAAAGACTATTTTATACAAATAAACAATTTTAGTTTTACACACACATCGCAATTATCTCTATTTTGTTACAGAGAAATAAATAATAAATCTGAAATTAATACTAAAATAATTAAATAATGATTTAAGTTTAAAAATCGGAACAATAATTACGGAATGAGTTTTAAAGAAATTTTAATTTAAAGAGAGATTTTTATCAGAGTAAAATTATTTTATTTATGATAAAATTTTTATTTTAAAAGCGAAACGTATTCATCGCGCGCGCGCGTTAACAGATTTTTATTGTATTTAACATTCCTATTATGCATAATGAAATCTCGTTGATACAATTTTTGGCACAATTATGGCAAATCTCATACATAATATTTATGTAATTACTTATCCTCTTGACGCGCGAATATCTAAAATTTAAATAATTATTCCGAAATAACTAGAATAGTGTTCTAATCAATAAAATACTGATTTGACAAGTATGCACCAATCAGTCTGTTATTAACATAATGAAAAGACATAAGTGTCTTACATCAAATAAACGATTTGATGATTTTTAGGTCTATAATTAATGATTTTTTAGGTCTATATTGCAGTTTATTTGATTTACAGACGACATTTTTTTCCGAAATAGCATTTTCGAAAATAATCGTCAAGATCGAACGCAACGAGAATATAAGTCGATTTTTACTATTATTATGTTACATTATGATCTGTATTTCTAATGTTCGAGTTCTATAAGATAAATTTTATTCACGAACAAGTTCAATATTACAGATATCGAACGATTACTGCAACAATTATTTTGTTCTCTTTTTACAAGTTATTCATATCTTAAATTTGGGACTAATCTTTTTTATCAAAATATCTAGTATTACTATTTTAAAGCTGTTATTTGATCTTATTTTTTTACTTGCATCTCTATAATTACATTATGTAATTATGTAATCGATTAGGAACAGCGTATCAAGAAGCAGCAACAGTAACATTGTCCCTTTTGGAACGAGATGATTGTATCCACCTTGCCTTTATCATATCAGCACCTTTTTCTGCTATCATTATGACTGGTGCATTAATATTTCCGCTAGTAATAGTGGGCATGATAGATGCATCAATTACCCGTAGTCCTTCAACCCCATAGACTCTCAGTTCTGGATTCACGACCGCCATTGGATCATTGGATGGTCCCATTTTTGCGGTTCCGCTCATATGATAAATGGTCATGGTATATTGCCTGACCACGCAGTTCCAGTACTCGTCGGTATAAAGTGGAATATGCTTGCAATTAGGTATTGGTTTATTATGAAATCTGGAACCGAATCTTTTCATACTATTGGTCTCGCCAAAGGCGATAGCCGCCTTGACACCTTCGCGAAGCACTGCCACGTCATCTGGATGAGTGAGATAATTATGATAAAGCAGCGGATAATGTAAAGGATTCTTGGATCTCAGTCTAATATAACCGCGCGATTTAGGTCTAAGCATCATCGGAAATATTCCGAAAACGTCATGATTGGTGATTTGTCTAAATACTTCGTTATAGAATTCGTCTGTTAAACCGTGAGCGTTCTTTACGTGGGTACCGCCGTCGGAGGTCGTTGATGAGGATGTTAACATGAACTCAATGTCAGGCCAATCGTCGGTGTGATTGGCATACTTGGTCGAAATAAAACCGACTGCCTCGAGACCAACGCTGGATGTTAACGGGCCATCCTCGGTAATGGCATATCTCAACGCCGTGTTTATATTTACCATTCGATTCATAACGAAGCTGACTTTGTAATCGATTGGAAAAATGAGCCCACCAACTGCTATATGATCCTGCAGATTCTGTCCGACTCCGGGCGAGTCTTTAATCACGGAAATACCCAATTCCTCTAAATGTGGACGCGAGCCTACACCGGATAACATCAACAATTGTGGACTATTAATGGCACCGGCCGAAAGAATCACCTCTTTCTTGACGAACACTACTTCCTTACGACCCTCTCTGATAAACTCTACACCATACGCTCTTTTATTCTGAGGATTTATCAGCACTCGAGTTACATGGCTCCACAGGGAAAGATGAAAATTTTTTCGAAGTTGAATAGGTCGTACAAATGCTTTGGCAGTACTGCATCTAGTGCCTCGCCGCATTGTAAACTAAAAGAAAATAAAATCAGCAATCTCAATAATTAAGTAGAGTTTTCACAAAATGATATGCCAGTTTCACACATACTTGGAAAAAGGCGAAGCCAGTTTGCTGTTCACCATTAATATCACAAATATCGTAGCCCATCTCTTCTCCAGCTTGAAGAAACGCTACGCCCAATGGAGTGAGATATGGGCTGTCCTGCACCGTCAAGTATCCTCCTGTGAAAAAAAGATTTTGGAAAAAAATAAATATTCATATTTCATTTCTTACGCACGCACGTACATAAACAAATTTTTTTGAAAAATATCCATAGTTGGCGCATAATTGCTGAGATATATGTATATACATATGGTATATATATATTACGACAAACGTAAGAAAGCATACGGACCTGTACTATGATATTTTGTATTGCGTGCTAAATATGGATTCCTTTGGTCTTGTGACTTTTTGAAGTATGGTAATACGTCTTCGTATCCCCAACCAGGATTTCCGAAACTTTCCCATCCATCGAAATCACGTCGGTTGCCGCGTATATACAGCATGGTATTTAAAACGCTGCATCCTCCAAGAACCTGAAATGTTATTATTAATCGATTGTAAATAAAATCGCATTCGGCCAAGCGAACAAATTAATTAGCTTGAATTTTTAATTGTCTCCAATATACACTGGTAAAAGAGTCTAGTTGCGTTAATTGGAATTTTTTGCTTGAGAATGGACAAAAATCAGAATTTTCTGATTGAATTTATCATAATTATAATAGAGAACTTTTTCTCAAGTATAAATCTGATTGATATAATTAGTATTTTCTGGTTCGTTTATTTTCAACCAGAATTTAATGCACTTTATTTTTTCAATCTTATTTTTGTATTTAGAAATTAATTTAATCGCGCTCTCGTAGTGTGAAATAATGCGTTATAGATATTATAGACTTGTGCAAGACAAAAGTTTTGTACACTGAGTGGTACAAGTTTTGTACTCGAAGAATTACTTTCACTCTAGCTTGATTGCTACACAGTGACTCTCGATACTTTGTAATATGTGACAACATTCGGAATATTTTTATGTCCATTTCTTGTCATAACTGTTAATTTAATTAAACATAATTGTTTCGATTACAAAGAGCCAGTTTTTAATAAATTAATATTATTGTATTGTAATAGAGTATATAATTTATATCGTCGACAATACAAATCAATATAGGTCACTTGAAAGCGAACACTTTTAAAATATCTGAAGTATTTTAATTGAATATAACTTTTCTTTTCTCGTACTTATCCAGAGTATAAAATTTCTACTACAAGTAATAAAACATTTATGTTCTTATTTAATGCTGATCTGAAAATACGGTGGTATCTCACCGCTAAGACAAGTACAACGTCATGGTACGAAACACTGCCGTGCTCTTTCACGCGTCGGCGAGTTACGGCATATTTTTGACATGCTACTCTTGGTTATCTTATCTCGAGATCTTTCTAAATTCGAGATTGATATATATCTCTTTACATATATACCTTGCCTCTAGTCCAGCAACATCGACCATCATTCATCGCCTGACAGGCTGTGTCTTGCGGCTGCGTGCGATACTTCCAATCAAGTTTACTTTTATGTAAATATAAAGAAAGTATCGGCACGTCTGTTATTTCGGTTTCATGCCCACCGGCTTCCAGTAAAAGCACGTTCCAATCAGAATTCTCAGTTAACCTATTGACGAGCACACTGCCAGCTGAACCGCCGCCGATTACAACAAAGTCGTAATCTTTCCTCAATTGCTTCGTTACGCGCGGATGATTTTCCGGGTCCATGAGGTCATAATTGAAGTATGCTAGGGCGGCAATCAACACTGGGATTATAGTTATCTTGCCGATACCGACGCCAAGGAGGACAGTGGCTGTTTTTATAGCGGTGCCGATTATTGTCGCGACGCTCATCTCTTACTCTGATCGTACTTTCGATTACTATTGACCTTGACTGAAGCTTACGCATTCGAATAGCGAATTTACGAATATTTTTTGCTTCTTCTGTCACGAATTTTTTCTCCGATTGTTCCTTGTAGAAACTATCTTCAGTATAAACAGTTAAAATCTGTCTTATTTTATTGTACGTCTTGATAGCGATATCATAGCGCTTTAATTGTAACTGCACAAGTCCGCCCAGTCGAAGGGAGAAACGTATGTAACGGATATTGCTTAATGATATTATAGAAATAAAAGAGTCGTTGTGATTTATGTGCTTTAATTATAAAAATCGTCGGAACATTTCTCTTTGAGATTTCCAGTCCCTTTGAGACTTTGCGAGAATCTGTGAAAATAAAAACAATTTATTTTATTTATTAGATTTTTTGATAATAATTAAAAATGGATTTTTTGATAATGAAAGGATTCACGATTAGGTTCATAAGATTAATATATGATAGAAAAATGTTTTTATATTTTTTCAAGGGGGATGTTATATTTTTTCTATATAATAGTAAACTTTAGTATAATTGTGTAAAAATTTGTTATACATAAATGTGTACTGATTTGCGATAACTACAGTTTTGTCACACATGTCCACGCTCCAATAAACTTGTACATACTATATACAGCTTGCGCATGTGTTAATCTAACGAATGCTATCATGCAATCTATTACTTATATGTTTTCTTTTCATTCGTCAATAATGTAATAGCAGAACATAGAGAGAAAATTATATATGTGAAGAAATTAAAAATTAGACTAACAAGGGTCTAATTTTTAATCATTTTACTATTACAAGTTGAAATTACACTAATTTACACATTTTACTAATTAAAAAATAAACTATTGATTAAAATCTGTATTACAAAAAATGTAAAAAATATTGAGGAAATTAATAGGTAGTTAATGTTTTTATATATTCTTGGCTTAGATAGATCTAGTCCAAGTTGACGCGTATTCTTTTCAATAATTAAGGCGAAATCAGAATAAGAAATTAAGCAATTAATTTTTGCATAATTCACGAATCTTTGAAACGGCATTTAAGTACGCAGCGCATTAAATATTTCCTTTAAGTGGTTTTCAAACAAGTTTTTCCAAACAAATGGTAAGCAATCTAAATGACATAATAGATAAATGATTTAAGAAAGAATTTAGGTTATAAATATTAATGAAATAATCTGAAACTAGAGACCGTTACCGAATTACATTACTGGATATTTCGTATATGTATATAATACCTGAATATTGCAACAATTTAGAAAGTTGGCTACATCGTTCGTTAATTTTAATTCAAATTTGTTACTTTTTATAAGATCTGAGAAAAAGATACTTAATTTTTTTTTTAATATAAAAACGTTTCCTTGATGAACCAAATTTATACTTCTAGAATTATTGTTAAAATTATTCTAAATTCATAAAATCAATGGAATTTTTTTATTTTTTAAATAAAAAATTTTTTTTGATCCACTTGAAATAAATTTGATCAGATATCACGATAATTATCAATTAGTAAGTTTCTAATTTTCACTGAGGTCGGTATAAGTAATCAGTTCTTATTTTAAGATTGTCTTAATGTCTTAATGTACTAATACGCGCGCGTAGCTCTGTGATTGGCTTGTGACATAATATCTTGAAACTGTAGCTAAGATGGTCTTAAATGTAAGAATCTAGTATGAATACTGAGTTAAATACATTGATAAATAATTAATCACACAAATCTATTAAAATTTGCTTGACATAAGAATTGTGTTAACTAAAGTTTTTCTACTTGTTGTGCATTTCGAAAATGTTTTTTCAAAAATTAATAATAAATTATAAGTTGTGGAAAGAGAAGATTTCATTAAAGTTCTCGTTGTGAGCTGTGCTTTAACTTGATATATGTGTGTGTGTGTGTGTGTGTGTGTGTGTGTGTGTGTGTGTGTGTGTGTGTGTGTGTGTGTGTATGTGTGTGTGTATGGAAAGATTAGTTCTAAATTACTTAAAGAATTCATAGTTATTAGATGACTGTAACTTTAAGTGCTATGCACCTACATTTGTTTTTCTTACATAAATTATCCTAGAATAATATTAATATTGGCAATCGACTAGTAATAATTGCGCGATATGTTTTAACAGAATATTTTTATTTTTATATCTGTGACATTTATATATTTGTTTTATTTATAATAGTATAGTATACTTAATAATAAATAACATTACAGATGTCTGTGATTTTGAAAATTTTTAATTATATTATTTTTAATCACACAACACATTTCCGCATATGTTTTATCAAAGTAGATATGTATATGATTAAAAATATATACCTAACTAAATATTTTCATAAATTTGTAATTAAAAACATGTGTATTGAAGGGTATTAAACATTTCCACTTTATACGTAATCCTCTGATTTTAATTAGAACACTGGTTTAAATGCAAACACGTAATAAATTTTAGAAACATAAACTTGCTTGGCGTTTTGATTAGTAAAATTATGTAAAATTTGAACACATTGACTAGTTACATAATTATACTTTATCGTTTATATATCGATTACAATATCAATATTTATGTACAATATGCATATGTGTAATAAATAATAATAAGGTTCTGTAAGTATAAAACAAAATAGAACAATTGAAGGACTAACAGCTAGTTATGTAATAAAGAATGTTTAATTCAAATATAAAGATAAAATATAGAGATAAAAACAATTACAAACGTTTTGACATCGATCGGGTCATTCTCAATGTTATAATAAATATATTATTATAAAATAATTAGAAATGCATATATGTCTTATGTATATATACAACCTATAAAGGAAATATCATTACGGCGTGATAATAGAAGTTGATTAATTCCCTTTCTCTAGTCAAAGTATTACACTGCATCATGACACTGGTACAAGATTGTCTCGACAAAAAGAACACAGGTGCACGTGGTATTGAAACGCTGTTGCGCGATCGAGCAGTTTAACGTGGCAGAGAAAGCGAAAGACTGAGACTTTAAGCATTATGTTCGTCTTATAAACCACGAAGACCTACTACTTTAGCAAAACATATCACCTTTCCCTTATCCTTGTTCCACAAAATGCACGTTTAATTTTAAATTAAAATTAAGACTAATAATAAAATGCAACATCTGACTCTTAAGACAAAAAAAAGTCCAGATAAAAAAATGTTCAATATCTAATTTTATAAAATAATGTTAAATATTTAATTTTATAAAAAAAGTTGATAGGACTGTATTCACAATAAATTAAACAGAGTTAATTTAACAAATTTACATATCTGAATATAAATCCCCCACATATACATCCCCCTCGCGTGCACGCACACACACACACACACACTCAATTTATATTAATATTTGAAATAATGTTTAAAATTATACAGGGCTGCATATTCAAAACGTTTCAAAGCATTATTCTTTGTATTCAGATCACACGCATATTTGCTTCTGTGTACGTTGAGGAAAGTTTTACTTTCGCTGAGTGATTTTGAGATCGTTTTTTGTTACATTTGCCTTTTCTCTTTAATTCTATGATATGAATACCTACGTGTTATTTTGTTAGATATATTTATACAAGGTGTACGTATTTAAAAAATTTTATGAAGCAGAAGAAGAAGACAAAGAATAAAGGCCATAATAAAAGCTTTTTGTATATTAAATTACAAATAAATTGCGAATAGAATCATTAACATTTTATTTTTTGTTATTGTGTACATTATAAGATAAAAACATTTACACAGAAAAAATTTTACTGGATTATTATATATATTTTATTAAATACCTTATATATTGAAACTCTCTCTCTAATATAATTACAAAACCTCTCATAGATATTTATTAGAATTCATCTTGACTTTTGGGAGTACAAATTAGTTTGGTCCGTTTTCTAAAAGATGATCGCCTCCAAAGACGAGTAATTTTTTCGAGATGGAATTCGAAAATTGCCTGAGAGATGGGAAAAAGTAGTAGCCAGTAGTAGACAATACTTTAATTAATTTGAATCCACTTGGAACACATTAATCAACAAGATTAATTAATCTGTTTATTCATTTTGTTTTGAAATTTTTATAAACAATTATAAACAAATATAAAATATTTTATAAATAATTTACAAATCTTATTTATTTTCTTCACTTAAAACACAATTATTCTCTATCTTTTGGTACGTTAAAGTTGCATAGATCTAATTATAAAAATAATCATATTTGTTCTATATTGAAAGCAAAAATAGATAAAAAAATCTGATTATGTTGTTTACTAACGATAAATACTCTCTAAAGAATTTTTTCGCAGAGACCCCAATCCTTAAATTTAAATGTCTCAAAAATGCATAATTTAATTTATAAATGCCAAAACTAGACTAAATATACTTATTTAAACACGCTTAATTAATTGATTTTATAAATACGGTAAATTGAAGAGCACATGAAAGAAAAAAAAGAAAAGTCAGAGAAATAAACTCATTTTTAGAAAAAGATTTGTTTCTACTATTAAGGCCTCGCTTCGCTTTCACAACTCGTTCTTGCCTTCTATAATAGCCCAGTCCTCCTTGATAAAATCTGCGCCTTTTTCGGCTATCATTATCGTTGGCGCATTCGTATTTCCACCGGTGATCGTTGGCATAATAGATGCATCAATGACCCTTAATCTCTGTAATCCATGAACCTTTAAACGAGGATCTACGACAGCCGTAGGATCGCCCTGAGGACCCATCTTTGTCGTTCCAACAGGATGAAAGATCGTAGATGACATATATCGCAGGTTACACTTCCAGTACTCGTCGGAGTCGGATTTGGTATGACGGCAATCAGGAATATCTGGGTGATGCAACCGCACCTTGTGCCGTTTAAATGTCTCAGTGTTGGTCATCTTTTTCAGAAAGTCCAATGATTTCAACATGGTGTCTAAATCTTCCTGCTCGGAGAAATAGTTGGCATAAATCCTAACAGGATCTGCTGGATTTCTGCTACGTAGCCGTATCTCGCCCACGCTCTTTGGTTTCAACAAAATCGAAAAACACTGGATTAGATCTGCCTCTGTTAGAATTTCTATTATTTTTTTAGCTATTTCCGTGTCTACGTTAAGACTGTTAAATAAATTAATCGCCACGGGTATGTGCCCTTGTGGTATGTGACCGTTAATGAACTGAATGTTGGGGTATTTGGCACTCGAATCATGTACATTGACGAAACCCGTAAGATCGTAGCCACTGGCACTTGTTAGAGGTCCTCGATTGTGCATTAAATACTCGTAAGCTGCGTCTAGGATAAACGTAGGTGACAGTGGTGTCGCGCTCTGATTCTTGAAAGCCAAATTTAAACCGAACCACGTGACATGATCTTGAAGATTTTTGCCAACGGGTAAATTAACGATCGTAGGTATTCCCATTTCGCGTAGGTGCTTCTCGGGTCCAATACCCGAAAGCATTAAAAGTTGCGGACTGGCGATGCTGCCGGCCGATAAGATTACCTCCTTCGAGGCTTTTAAATCAATCGATCGTCCGTCTTTCAAAGTCACACGAACTCCAACTGCTCGAGTATTGTCCAAGAGAACAGCGTCAGCTCGAGTTGACTTCATCATGTACAAATTGTTCCTATGTTTGATCGGCGACAAGTAGGCTTTTGAAACACTCACTCTACGACCTTTATCCAACGTTCCTTGAGCTTTACCATATCCGACGAATTTGTCACCGTTGATGGTATCCAAAATAGGTACGCCCATCTCGCGAGCAGCGTTCAAGACCATTTCATGTATTTTCGGTTGAGTGTAATTGTAATACCTGATGCTCAACGGTCCGCCATGACCGCAGTACTTGCTTCTCCACTCGTCGCTATGTCCATGACCGCAGCTTTGAGATTTTTTAAAGTATGGCAGTACTTCGTCATAACTCCAGCCCTTGTTGCCCATTTGAGACCATTCATTATAATCCTTGTCACTGCCATAAATATAAAGCATGGCATTTAGTGTAGAGCTGCCGCCGACAGCTTTGCCTTTTGACCATTTGCACAACTTGTTCTTGTTACCTTGACAGGCAAATTTCTCGGGTTCGATGTCATAGGAATAATCCCCCGGCGAATGTAATAACGAGAGAAATGCTGCGGGAACTTCGCTGAGTATCGAGGGATCCTCACCAGCTTCGATCAGCAATACTTTCCAGTTTTCTATCTCAGTCAAACGATTGGCTAATACGGAGCCAGCACTTCCACTGCCCACGATGATGAAGTCGAATTCTCTATTAGAAGTCGCAATCTCTTCCGACCGATCTGGAGGGTAAATGACATCGCTCAAGCTACATTGCGCTGTCAGAAGCGTTTGTATCAGATACGCAAAGACATTTGCGGGAGTAGTAACTGCAGAATTTGCAGCGTTAGCCAAACATGCTTCCATGTTGATTAAGTCGAACACACGACGATTCAATTCTGTCGAAAAAAAATATATTTTGATATACTAATTGCGAATGCTATTTATAATTCATCTTATATATAAGATTATTTGAAGTCTCATGTCATAGATAATCTTAAAATTCTATTCAATCAGTAAAATGAATGTACGGCATCTCGAGGTTGAAACGACGAAACCTAATATGATATTGAATGTAATTAAATGAAAAATCAGCTTATATTAGAAAATACTACCAAGATGAGAACACTTTAAAATTTCAAATAAAAAAAACATATAAAATGCAATATTTAGGAATATATTTAGGTTTAATATTTAGGAAATTATTTATTTTGTATAATTTTTTTTATTGAGTTGTCTTGAAGTTTATTTTAAGCTATCCATAAAAAATTTTACATTCTTCTCAACAGCAATAAAATTCAAATTTCTTTCTTTATGTACAATATTTAGACTCATTCCTTATTTTCAACGATAAATCAAAATTCCAATTATTTTTTCTATAACCTTGCAAAATGTTTACAAGTTTTATTGAAAAATAATTATATAAATAATTTTGTATAAATATATTAATAACAAAATATCTTGTAGTTGACGTCATAAATGCCTAACCATTTGAATTTATATGAAGCATGAAGACACGCGTTCTTGAAATGAATGATGACTAATAATTATTCGAAAAATGTAATGTAAATTTGAAATTGAACTAAATTTAAACTAGACTTAATCTAAACTCAATAATACTTATAAATAATTTAAACAAAAGATATAATTTATAAATAACTTAATAATTATAATTAATTTATAAATAACGTACTATTATTTTTCTTACAGAGATAAACTTACGATTACACACATTTTTTCTTATTTTCTCAAACTTTATTTTTTATAAATAACAAAAATTATTTTTATAATTTTCCTTGTAATTTCTTTAATTCTTTTTAAAGCGCACGTGTAAATTAGTAATTAATCACTGGTCAATTTAATACTGAAAGAGATTATTATAGAATTATAAAAGTAATTATTATAAAATTATCACACACGAATATAAATTTTTTTAGAATATCGACTTTTAATATCCAATTTAATAGTAACGTAATTATTATAACATAACACACATAAAATTTTAAAACGCTAACTTTTATAGCGTATTCGATTTACAGACTCGATTCGACTCCTAGTCAATGGCCTGTTCTGTTTAACTGCAAAAGAAGAGCTAATACCCAATTTCTTCACATCTAGATAACTTTAATAAATAATTTTTGTACCGACCGTAAATTGTCTACAAACAAGGAAAACATCTAGATAACTTTATCTGGGAGATATCTCCTAGAACATAATAGAGATATTTCCTGGATAAATTTATCCGGAATTTATCTGGAAGTGAAGAAATTGAACGTAAACCGTTCAAGAAATGCAGCTAAAAAGAACAAACCGTTAACTCGGAATCGAGTCAAGTCAGTAGATCGCGAATTAATTACCTATTAATTACCCAAATCAGTAAATCGAATACACTATTAATTATCTAATTTGTATTATTTACTAATTTTTTTGATGTCATTTATTGAGAACGCAAAGACGACTGAAGTCTCTCTTCGGATAATATCTGAAGCAAATTTGTTAGAATATATTTGATATCATATCATAACGATAATGATATCAGAGTTTTTGAACATGGCCGGAGACGCTACCGCGTCTCCTGATAAAAGAATAAAATTTAGTAAAAATATAGGGATACTTAAATGATAACATATCTTATTTATAAATAGCTAGTGCACAGTTCAAGTCTTTAAAATTCATTAATAAAACACAAATTGAATATATAGAACGATTATTTTATTGCGTCTATGTAATAAATATAACATATTCTGTATTTCGATGATAATTTGTTGTAATCATAATAGGACACGCTTACTTATATGTAGGAAGAGAGAGAGAGCTTTGTGTTTAAATAAAAGTATCGAAAAGAAGAAAAAAAAATGTAGAAAGTAACTATCAACTAATGAGTGGAATTTTTTACTAGTAAAAATAATATGTGTATAAAATATTTTTTATACTTATGGTAAAAATATACACAGTAGCGCACGAAATTTCATACCGTTTAATTATCTCATTATCACAAAGATCTGTACATATTTTTATTTTTTATTTTTCATGTTTTTATACTTCAAATTTTTCATGCTCATATACTTAGTTACTTATTTGTGTTACTTCTGCTCAAAAGTATTTTCATATTTATAAAAAATTGTAACATACTTTTATTTAAATAAGTTCTATTTAATTAATTAATTTTATTTATTGTATATAAATAGATAAAACAATATTTGTTATGCAGTACTTATTATCGATTATCTCATATGAGCAATAGAATTTCTCTGCATTTAAAATTGCTAAAATTTATTTACTTCACCTTTTACTGTCGTAAAGAATATGACAACATCATATATGCTTGAATTGTTAATTGTCACACGATGTCTTGCTTACTGTTGAACTTAATCTTGTGTATCGCGATTGAATTTCATTATTCGTATTACCAAGGACGGTAAGATGGTGTATCTTAAGGTGATCCTACGCTTAATAATATTGATTACTAATATTGAATCAGTAATACCGACAGTATATGTTATTTTATCTATGTTTTTAGTATTTTTACAACTTTACACGTTCAATATTATTAACAATATATATCACTTTAGTTTTACATATGTATTGCACTAAGATATACTGTGACATGGATCTTAATAATACTGGATGTTTGAGAATCAAAATCTATCCTATATCAATCTTCTAATATTAACCATACACAATCAGTACTGTCAATATTTATTAATAAAGACAGTATTATTAACCGTGTAAGGTCAACTTTAGAATGCAACTTTTACAAGATAATCTTAAAATTGTCAGTTGTTTGATTCTCTCTCTCTCTCTCTTACACAATACATTAATTTATATAGAAAAATGTATTTGATTTAATTAATGAAAAACTAAAGTGTACTGTAATACTACAATTTATTAAAATTAATTGAATTTGTGCGAATATATATATATATATATATATATATATATATATACTCGTATATATAACGTAATACGGCATGAATACACATAAATTTGCCCATCTTATTAATACCTTTAAATAAAGCTTTAGTATTGAACTTTAAAGCGACCATGAGATGAGAAAATAAGATATTTAAATATTCAGATTCTTTTTAACCATTTAATAAATAGCAATTATAATAGAAAAACGTTTCAACTCACAGAATCTTCATAATTAATATAGAACTTAAATTCACAAATCTTAAATTTAAATCTAACTGTAAAGTGGCAATAATTAAATTAGAGATCAAGATAGTAATTAGACAGAATTTCATTTCCGTATATGATGTAGCAATTAAAAATTTAGGCACACACCATGTCCAACAATAATATATAGGTCGATTGCGTCAAATTGTAAAGTGCAATATTAAATTCCTCATTTGATTGATGAGAATTACGTTAAATCTAATTTATAGTATAAAATCAATATTATAAAACTGTCTCAACAATTAAAATCAAGTTAATAAAAAAATATAATAGAAAATATATTAATCAAAAACAGGAGTTTTAATGGCATTATCATTTCTGTTTCTGATTAATATTTTTTCTATTAAATTTTTTTATTAACTTGATTTTAATTATCAAGACTGTTTTATAATACTACGACTTTATACTAAATTAGACTTAACGTAATTCTCACAAACGAGGAATTTGTTATTACATTTTACAATTTAACGCAATCGACTTATATATTATTATTGAACATGGTGTGTACCTACATTTTCAATTACCACATCATATACGGAAAAGAAATTTTGTTTAATTACTATCTTGGTCTCTAATTGTCACTTTATAGTTAGATTTAAATTTGAGATTTGTAAGTTTAAGTTCTGTATTAATTATAAACTAATGAAAACTATGTGAGTCAAAACATTTTTATATTATATTTGCTATTTATTAAATAGTTAAAAAATATCTGTATATTTAAATATCTTATTTACTCGTCTCATACTTGTTTTGATATTTTACTTTACAAACAAATAAGCATTATCTTATATTATTGTTTACTAAAGTATTAGCTTTGCAAATAAAATAATTTTATTATTTGTACTTTATCTTGATAGATTATAATCAGACAGATTACTGATTTTAATTATGTAAGCCTTATCATTTCTTGACCCTGTCATTATCACATAAAAATTCATTAAAAAACAATTTTATATTAAATTTTGGTATTTTTAATTGTAAGAGTATGATATAAACGAGTACTCAAATATATTATAAATAAATATTAATAATATTATGTATTAGAAAAGAGGGTTTACCGAGAATGTTGCAGCAACGATCCGATTCAAACTAAAGTGCTCGTCAACAGTCAGTATCTCCTTCAGTCAGAAGACGAAGGTTACAAGCATGGTTGCCACCTTTCTCTGGTTTTCGATCTGGAAGAACCGGAGATTCCAGCTTTTTGACCGAGAATTTGTGATTCTTTGACAAATAAAAGGAATTATCAGCTACCCGTTCAAAAATTTTATAACCGCTGTGTTTGAAGTGTACGCGTCGCAGTTAAAATTTTTTTCCATTATCTGATTTTTTTTCCACGGAATGCACTATCAGAAAGTTTTAATTTTAGCAGTTTCTTGTATTTATTATCAATGTTTAGGAGGATATAACGTCTCCATAGAGCATCGATCTTCAATGGAACATGACGATTGAAAGGTGGCAACCATGGTTACAAGGTGTCTTGCCTGCCCTCTCTTGTTTGCGCTATCTACATATCTCGACATTATTATGACACAAACAAATTTTACAAGTGTAATCAGGCTATATACATGTAAAAAATCTAATTTTCCTATATTTTATTTTCAAAGTTAAAAATTTCTAAAATTCGTTTATCATATAATAATTTGTCTTAAATTTAAATAATTTTAGTATGTTTTAAAGAGAGATGCCATATTTTTTTTATTATACTCATTAATCAAGTAATCTTATAATTTAAACGTTGACTGATTTAGCAATATTTCTATTTTTAATTCTCTCTCATAATGCTTAAGGGGAAGGAGAAAAAGAAAGAGAGAGAGAGAGAGAGAGAGAGAGAGAGAGAGAGAGAGAGAGAGAGAATAATAATAATAATAATGACGAAAATATGACTTAGCATTATTGCATGTGTGCATTGATTTTCATTATCTTATTAAACCACGCTTTTCCGTCTTTTAAAGAGATACCATGTTTTATGATGCTGATTAATTATTATAATCTAGCTTAAACGTTGATTCATTTAGTAATATTTTTATTTTTAATTCTTTTTCCTAACGCTGAAGGAGGAAGGGGGGGGGGAGAGAGAGAGAGAGAGAGAAAGAGAGAGAGAATAATGACGAAAATATGATTTAGCATTATTGCACATTTGCGTTGATTTTTATCTTATTGATGCAACGTACGCTTTTCTGTGGCTCATGTTTACTATTTTTAGTTTAGTGATTAATTACAAACGTGTATACTTGTATTGAAATATTATATAATAGGATATTATTTATAATTTAACGAAAGCACAAAGTCGAATTTAAATTACAATAAACTAAAAATATCTCTCTCTTGTCTCTCTCACTGCCACTCTTCCTGACGTCTATTATAAGATGGCACAGCCACTTCAGCACAATCAAACGCGACCAATAACACATTTTTTTTGCTATTTTTTTGCTAATTTTTTGCTCTATTCCCGATTTTTTTGCTCCAGCCGATTCGTTAAGGGGATCCTAAAGCCTCCTGTATTACCGATTAAATCGTATAATTTTTGTATCGTAAATACTTTTTTTGTCATTCACAGATTCTAAAATCCTTTTACAGAATTAAAGTATACGCATTAATACGTGCCTGTAAGGTAGAATCTATGCTGAAAACGATAAAAAATTTCAAAATGAGTTCTTCTTTATCATTTTTTAGTTCAATATGGCGCTCCAGAGCTGTCACGTCGTTGCACGTCGTAACAACATTTGTTTTATACATGTGTACAACTTTGCTCCCGCCGTTTTTACAGGTATAAATTTATACGGCGGGAGCAAAGTTGTACACCTATAAAAGCTGCGCAATCTGTACTTAAGAAATAATAGTCCACAGGCACGTAGTTTTGCATGAAGAAACAGCGTGGAATTCTTAAAATTAGATTTAGATGTTTAATTAAAACATAATTACGATACAAAAATCTACGTATATGTGTGGCGTGTGTGAGTAAGATATTGATGTAGTGATGTGTCAATGACACGTAATCTGTGTGTAAGATGTCGTTAAGGATCCCCTTAAAACCCATGGCTGTGCTAGCTTAAGATTAAAGTTAGCACAGCAAATGAAAAATCAAGTACATATTCTTAAAGGGCTATTTTTTTTGCTAATTTTTTGCTCTATTCCCGATTTTTTTGCTTTAGCCGATTCGTTAAAACCCATGGCTGTGCTAGCTTAAGATTAAAGTTAGCACAGCCACAAAGAAAAATAGCAGCAAATAAAAAATCAAGTACATATTCTTGAAGGGCTATTTTTTGCTAATTTTTTGCTCTATTCTCGATTTTTTTATTCACCGTTTATATCAAAAAATTCGACCAACAATGTAGCTGTGCTGGCTCGCGTACAAGAGTAAAGTACATTAAAGCAATTAATTACCGGGATCATTTTGGTCTCAAAATGTTTCTAGAATTATTTGCCCTAAGAATGTCCAGAATCCGATTTTTTTGCTCATCGTTTACGTCGAAAAATTCAACCCACAGTGTAGCTATGCTGGCTCGCGTACAAGAGTAAAGTACATGTTTAAGTATACTATTAGTATACAAAATGTTTAAGTATACTGTTGGTTATTAAAGTAATAGATTACTTTAATAATGTTTGATTCATAGTATTTATATATGATAATAATAGGACAAATAAACAAATAATTGTCTATGAACTCGTTAATAAAAACCCGAGTAATGCGCATTATATTTGCTCTGCGCAAAATTCTTATCGCCACTTATATTTTTAATTTACAATAATTTAATTAAAGTTTTATTATAAAAATGCATTTGCCTTGAAAAATCTATTGTCACATAATCGAAAATTTCGAATAAACAGTATCTTCTTCTCCCTCCTTCTCTCCTTCTTCTCCGAGCAAGTATGTGTGTGTATAAACATTATAACGTATATACATATATATACAATTATACATATTATGTATACATATACGCGTTACTTTTATTATTACAATCCATTGTATCAAAATTTATACATTTAAACACATTTACGACCAAGTATTTTTAATCATATCAGCTGCCTTTTCAGCCACCATCATGATTGCAGCAATGGGATTGGAGTTTGGTACAGTCGGAAAAATGGAAGCATCGGCAACGCGAATATTCGATATACCATGTACTCGAAGTTGCGAATCTATTACTGCACTTGGATCGGTACTTGGTCCCAATTTGCATGTTCCCGATTGATGATTTTCTGGTCCAGTTTGCGTTCTTATTTGACACATCCAAAAAGCGTCCGTGCCAAAATGGTAGCTAATAGAAAAAATTAATAAAGAAAACTAATAGAAACTCATGAAATTTTTTCAAAACTTTTGAAATATTACACGATTTACACGAAAATATATTTTGCATTTTAATTGTTTATCTTTGTTTTTAATTGTTGAACTTCAAAAATTATTATTATATTTTTATATTTTTGTTAAAGAAAAGTCGACTATAAACTCAACAGAGAATCAGAAATTCAGGATTAATCTGCAAGGTAATCGTAATTGTATGAAAACTTTTATACGAATTATTACTTACTCGCTACACATTGGACTTCTCTCTTGTTCCAAACGAAGATCCCATTTCTTCATAGCGGGCGTGTCAACAAGTTTGCTAACCTTTTTGATACCTTCAAGTAGAATCATCAAGTCCTTCTCGTTTGTAAAGTAATTTGGATATATCAACGGCGGATCCAAAGGATTATTTGAGCGGAGTTTTAAGTCGCCTCGACTCTCCGCGCAAACCACCGTAGGTCTCGCTATGATTTTCCTTCTGTCCGGGCAATTGGACAGGAACTTACCATTCATGCACTCATCGTATAAACCTGTTTTTGGACAAGTGGAACTAAATCCGTCGAAGAAGACTTGGATATCCGCTATACCGTTGATCGCATAACTGCTTTCGAGGAAAGCGGTAACTTGAGTGATACCAGTGCTGGCCAATGGTCCCGTCTTATTCTCTAAATATTGATTTATGGCTTCCATAGTCACGGTCTCGTATGGAATGTCCTTGATACTCATCGGTACCCCCACGGACACATGATTGTGCAGATTCTTACCAACTGGCAGATCTTTGAATACTTTAATGCCGAACTTCGCAAGGTCTTTTTCGGGTCCTATGCCAGAATTCATAAGAATGTGCGGTGAGCCGATAGCACCGGCTGTTAAGATTACCTCCTTATCGCATTTCATCACTCTCTTATAACCATTCTTATCCACCAGTTCCACGCCGTAAGCCTTCTGTTCCCACGGTCTAATTAAGATCTTAGTGACTTGTGCATTTGTCAGCACTCGCAAATTCTTACGATCGTGAACAGGTCTTAAATATGCTCTCGAAGTTGTAAGACGCATACCGTTCTTAATTGTCATCGGTGCGATCATGAAGCCAGTTTGATTGTATTCTTTTAATTGAGAAGTTCTGTAACCCAACTCGCCAGCGGCTTTCAATAATACGTTTACGAAATCCGGCTTATGTGAATAATACTGAATATTCATCAGGCCGTCTTCTGTAAAACTTCTAGGTTTGTCCGATAAGATTGTTGGATTGACCGGATTTTCCACCCGTTCAAAATAATGACTAATCTCGTCGTAGGACCAACCCGAGTTACCCTCCCGTGCCCAGTGATTGTAGATTTCAGGATGTCCTCGAACGTACATCATACCGTGGAAAGCACCGGTTCCGGCAACTATTTTGCCTCTCGGCCAAGTGCAGACGCCACCCGTTTCTAAAAGACATAATTGTAACATTAATTTATTAAGGTTTTATTTTTGTAGCATAAAGTTTGATCTAAAATTTTATATTAAGATTTAAATATTTAATAATTCTGATTTTGTTCTGTGAGACTTTTAGAAAATTGGAAAAATTGCTACATTGAATTACTTGTTTCATTATTATAGGCTGTTTAAGGGTAAAAAAACGAAAAAAAAAACAATTTGGCTAAAGTATATGAAAATTTAGATAGATAGATAGATTTCCATAAGTAAATGCCTTTACAGGCAGAACAGTTGTTATACGATACAAGATATTTAATACCTAAACAGGCGGTAGGATGCGATGATGTTGGTTCCGTCTTAAAGTTCCAAT